TTTCACATAAACTATAGTACTAAATTATTTGGAATTGTAAGCTTCATCCTCTATGAAGAAGCATTTTATAAAACTTGTTGATATCCTCATTTAATCCTGAAAATCATAAAACAAAATAATCATAAATAAATCATGCAAGTAATCATAAATCAAACTAAATAATATTTTACTTACTGAACGTAATCGATCTTGACTTCGAAAGCCATAACCATAGAAATAGTTTCAAAAGCTTTTTCAGGTAGATAAAATGTTGCATCAGCAGTACATTCAGGACAATAATCAACAATCTTCACCACAACACTTTTACCAGTACAAGGATGTAACAAATATTTATTTGTTTCTCCAGTACATGTCACATTAAAATTTTTTCCACAAATGGCACCACCATTCCATAAAGATTTAGAACCAACTTTTGCTACCATGTCACCTTGTGGTTTGGTTCCATAACACTTTGACGCTGTCAGTATATACAAGTTCAATTAATAAGAAAAAAAAGTTAGAGCTAGATTTATCGTAAATATACAAAATTAATATATGAATTGAGATTTCAAATTATGCAAGAATGTTTTTGGTCAAATCAAGAATTAATAGGAGACAACTTCTGTCGTTAAACAATAAAATGTTGTTCAATAACGAACTAGCAATGGATTATCAAAAGGCTCATGTTTAGCGATGAATTTCGTAAATAATTCCTTCTTTTTTTTTGTTAAAAAAATGTGTAATGAAATTTAAATAGAGGAACAATTTGAAAGAGAAAGAAAATACTTACGAACATAGCTACTATTATAAAATGATGCAATTCCTGGTTTAGCCAAAACTATAGAGAAAGTAGCCAAAAAACCAATAATAACAAGAAAAGTATTTTTAGGAATTGCCATTTCTTTTCTAAATCTTTTAGTATTTTATTTCACTAATATATCTTTCTATCCCAATAATCAACAACCTTTTTATAGTTTTTCATTGGCTAGTAAAATATGTAAGTTGTTAAAAGAATAAAATCAATTCATTTATTATTATTGATTCATAGAGTAAGTAGTTAATAAAAAAATATTTTGACGATATCCAGCAAATTAATATAATTTATTAAGGTAGGTTAATTAATTATTACATATCAATTCATGTGATATGATAAGGATATTTCCTGTTTATAATTTGTTAATTTAAATTTTAAAATGTTAACATAAATTTTTACATGACAATACTATACTATACAAAAAAAAATGATATTGGATATAAAATTTAGGGAAAATGCATAAGTACCCCCAGCCTATGCCCGAAATCCCAGAGACACACCTAACCTTTACTAAGGTTTTATTACCCCCCCCCCC